CGGCTCGGGGACGCCAGGAGAGCCGCGAGCCCCCGCCCCGCTCAGAGGGCGACGCGGAGCGCCCGGGGGAGGCGGCGGACGCTGCCGGAACTGGAGCGGGCTCGTTGCTGCCACTATTTGCATATTCCTGACATTGGTGTCCTTATAAAGAAATTAATTACCCTGGCGCCCTTCAGAGTCCGATGAAAAGCCTCTGCGCCACGGGGCTGCCCTAGACTTTACTAACTAACTGCGTCCGAAGTCCCCCAAAGTGTGGCGCCGGAGGGCATCTTAAGGAATTATTAACAGGGCCGAGGGAACGGCGCTCACACAGTCGATACATTTAAAGGCTAAATTTTCAGAGCTTTTGTTTTCGCGTTAGTGCCCAGTAGAAGTGAGAAAGTCTCGATCTGGGAATTTAAAACGTGGGGCATGAATGTTAAATGAGACCTACTGGTTATAATAAAAGGATATCTGTGAAACTAGTGGTGTTCAGTGAACTTGGTGAATGCCTGTTGCACCCATCTCAGTTACTGGTCCATTGTGTGAACTCAGTAGATGTTCCTTGAATGAATGAATGAAATGCACAAGTCGCCAAGCTAGGAGATACAGAGATAAGAAAAATGAGATTGCTTTTGTCCTCCGGGAGTCGTTTCCCTGTACCCCCATATGTGCACACATACATGATGGAAGAAGAATGTGTTAGGAGACCTAAGAGAGCCACAAAATGCTGGTGAGAGAGAAGAGGGTGCATGTGCTTGTGGTAGAGATGTAAGTGGCTATCAAAATATAAAGAATTAAAAATATTAAGGTGCAAGTAGACACTTTCCTAAAAGGCTAGTAGGAGTTACACATTTGTAGAACTGGTAGAGAAAGCAATAGCAATATGTGTCAATAGCTTTTTATGTTCATCAAGTCTGCTCAAGTCACCCAACTCTAAACATTTAATCTAAGGGAATAATCCAAAATATTAAAAATCTATTACGTTGCAGCACATGAACTTGTAATTTTTATGTCAAAATATTGAACATTGGGTAATTCCATATGGATCAACCTAATATATGCACAAAGATATTCATTGTATCATAATTTATGACTGTGAAAAAGTGGAAAAAAACTGCTGTGCAACATTAGAGGAATGGTTAAATAAACCATGGCGCAAACTTTATTTAATGTTATCCCCTTGTAATTTTAAATATTGAGGTGTAATTTGCATAAAATAAAAATCCACAGATCTTACTTCAGTTTGATGACTTTTAACAATTGTGTGCACTCATGTAACGACCAGCCAAACAAGGTGTAGAACATTTACATCTCTCCAGAAAAGTTCCTTTGTGCTCCTTTCCAGGTTTTTAGATAATCTTTCCTTCTCCCAAGAGACAACCATTTTCTGATTCCAATCACCACAGATTAGTTTTGTCTATTCTTGAACTTCATGTAAATGGGATCATGCAATAAGCATTGCCTTGCATCTTCCTTCTGCCTCTGTCTGTGAGACTCATCCATGTTGTTGTATCAGGGATTAGTTCCTTTTTATTGTTGAGTAGTATTTCATTGTACAACTGTGCCACAAGTTGGTCATCCATTCTCCTACTGGTTTGTTTCTAGTTCTTAGCTATAATGAAAAGGCTGTTATAAACATTCTTGTATAAGTCTTTGTGTGCACATATGTTATTTATCCCTTGTTAAAGAAAAACTTATTCAGTAATACTCGTTAAAGGAAAGTAGGGTAGACTTTATTCTGGGGGAGGACTATCTTGATAGGTATGGGGACCACTGAGGTGGAATGTTGCAGTGGAGGAGAGAGATTGGGCTCAACTCCGAATACAGCATGAGCAGGTGGGAATTTATAGCCAAGGAGCAGGGTGGAGGGGGGTCAGTGGATGGAAAATTGCTAAGAGGAAACATCAAGATTGAGGGGTATTCTGGCTAAACCAACCTAACAGGATTCTTGATGGAGGCAGGCCAGGGTGAGCAGACATCACTGGCGGATGGTGGAGGATGAGGAACCTGATCAGAAATTGAGGGTGATCAGATATGAGGAAGAGGGATCCTGGTTAAATTCAGGAGTCTTGCCAAAATTGGACAGTGCAGAGAGGAACACAGAAGTCCAAAAGTTAGGCCTAGTTGGAAAAGACCTCAGTGGAGCCTGAGTAGTATTTGGTCAACGAGAGAATCTTTGTCATCCTCTTGGGAAACATCTAGGAGTCAGATTGCTGAATCATTTGGTAAGTGTAGTTTAACCTTATAGAAACTGCAAAAAATTGTTTTCCAAAGTGATTGTACCCCTTTATACTCTCATCAGCAATACATAAGAATTTCAGCTGTTCTATATCCTTGCCAACTTTTGGTATTTTCAATCCTTATGGAATCGTGTCCCATTATGATTTTAATATACGTTTTAATATACATTTCGTGGGTGACTAATGATGTTGAGTACCTCTTCATGTTTTTTTTTCAATTATCATTGTCAGTATTAAATGGGGTGATATACGTAAAGTGCTTAGCGCAGTGTCTGGCATATAGTCAAAGCATAATAATTGTCAGTTCCAATTACAGGTTGGATAAGACTTTTCCTTGGATAAGGCTGTGACGTATGTTGCTTGCTTTTCAAAGCATCTTCTTTCTTTCAGTCTCAGCACCCCAGTTTTCCATAGGGAGCCACTCTTCCCTGCTCTCAGTCCCTGTGGTTTGGATAGGCCAATCTTTCTGCAGGCCACAGGCATCGACATGTCACCCAGTTAGAGTCAAGGAGCTTCAACTCTAGGATTTTTCTGGGAGTTTTTACAAAGGAGAAAGTCTTATTTTATTGTGATATCTAGATGTAGGGTGTTTTGAATCTTGAGCTCTCGGGGCTACCACACGGCCTAAGACTGAAGCCATTATGGTGAAAAGCAGACCTGAAAGATGAAGAGAAATGCTCCTGGTTCTAGCTTAGCTGGAAATTGACATTTTTATTTATATGAAGTAATAAATTGCTTTTGTTTAAACCAGCTAGAGTAGGGTCTCTGTCTCTTATGCTGACCAGCACGGAGAGACTAGATACAGGGATCTAATGGCCAAACAAAAAAGAAGTATCAACAAATTAAGGCTTCAGGCAGGGGCCAAACAACCCCCAGAGTTCAGAACTTGCTGACAGAGTTGGATTGGAGAATATGCTTGGACCTGGGACCAAAGTGGGGCCCTCCTACTCTCTCCCATATCTTGATCTGGGGACCTTCCATGAGCAGAGTTGGATTCACAGAGCAGACCCTCTGAGACCCACCAGCTGTGAGAACTCTAGGTAGCCTCACACACTCTGAGGTCATCGGGAGAAAACAGGAAGGATGGCCAGAGCTGCGTCTGGAAGAGGCACTGGGCCTGCCTTATGTGTACTTACCAGGTGGTGACGGGTCAAAGCCTTATTGTCCTGGTGCAAACAGGTCAAAGAGAGAACAAAGGAGCTGGGGCATGCCTGGGTATGACCTTTAATATGATGACCCCATTTACTAGTAAACATTGAGGGGGAGATCAGCTCCCACTAATCATATTAGCTCCTCTCCCTAATCGAAGCGTAGTCAAGGATGGGAAGAGGATTGTGGTTCTGGGTAAGATGGTGTAGCACATTCTACCCGGTTTCTCCAATTCAATGCAGTTACAAAATCTGGATAGAATGCACAGAGCAGATATTTGAGGACTCTGAAAAATGAATCGTAGCAAGCAGATCCGTGAAGAAGACAAAAATTCAAAGTACCACCAAACCAGTGTTGAATTTACTGTTGTTTTCCCTCTAGTGTCTCTCTAGCCTGGCATGTCAACCCAGAATTCTACATCCAGCAAAAACTCTGTCAGGAATGAGGTTGAAATAGAGACATTCTCAGGTGAGGGAAAGCTAAGCAAATTTGTTGCCAGCAGACTTGTTCTAAAAGAGTTGCTGAAGGAAATTTACCAGGAGGAGGGGAAATGATACCAAAAGGGTACTTGGAACATCAGAGATGAAGGAAGAGAAACAGGAATAGTAAATATCTTGGGAAATATAATAGACTCTTTTTCTCCTCTTTATTCCTTAAAATACGTTCAATGATCGCAAGCAAAAATTATAACGTCTGGTGGAGTTTTCATGTTTATAGATATAAAATATAAACACAATATAAAAGGGCAAGGATAAAGAGACCTATCTAGTAATGAGGTTTCTACATTGCACTTGAAGTGCTAAAATATTGATTCTAAGTAGATTTAGAAAAGTTAAATAACCATAGTGTAATCTCTAGAGTAACCCATAAACATACTATCCCAACACATCTAGTCAAAACACACAATAGATCAAATATCATAATAAAAAATGTTCAGAGCCAGCCCCATGGCGTAGCAGTTAAGGGCGCATGCTCCACTGCTGGCAGCCCGGGTTTGGATCCCGGGCGCGCACCAACACACCGCTTGTCAGGCCATGCTGTGGTGGTGTCCCACATAAAGTGGAAGAAGATGGGCATGGATGTCAGCTCAGGGCCAGTCTTCCTCAGCAAAAAAAAAAAAAAAAAAAAGAGGAGGATTGGCAGATGTTAGCTCAGGGATGATCTTCCTCACGCACACAAAAAAAGGTTCAAATAACCCAAAAGGAGACAGGAAAGGGGAAATAGATGTTAAAAAAACAGAGGGAACAAACTGAAAGCAAATAATGAAATGGTAGACCTAAATCCAAACATAGCCATGATTATGTTAAATGAAAATGATTTAAATCAAGGGTTGATAAAGTTTTTAAAAAGATCAGATAATAAATATTTTTGACTTTATGGGCCACATACAGTCTTTATTGCATATTCTACTTTGTTTCAAAAACAGGTGGTGGGCTGGATTTGGCCCATGGGTCATCGTTTGCCAACCTCTGGTCTAAGCACACCAATTAAAAGACAGATTGTCAGAATGGATTAAAAAGTAAAAGAAGAAAGAAACAATGACTTAACTCTATGTGGTCTACAAGAAACTCACTTCAGTTACAACCATGTAGGAAAGAGGGGGGTGGTCCTCCTTAGCACTTGCCTGGGAGGTATCTCAGTGAAAGTTCCTTCTAGTGTTCTCTGAGATGGAACTTGAGAGAAGTAGACAGGGTTCTCCCTGCTACTTCCTTCCTCTTCCCTTATAGGGAAGTCAGATTTCTGGCAATTTCAGAGTTTAAGAACAGTCCTGAAACTGGAAATAAAGCATGCCTCCGAGTGTCTTCAGTAACCCTGACTAACCTGAGCGCTTTATGCCACAGCAAAGGCTTCTGGCTGCTCATTCTGTGCCTGTTTCCTCTTATTTTACTTATAATACTAAATACATTAGCCCCTCCACCAATCTCATCGGATAAGAAACAAAAAGTCAGAAGAAGGAGAAATAGGAAACTGATGTGTCAGGTGGAGTAAGAAAGGAGTGTGACAGCACAGTTGCCACTGGATCATATAATGGTAACTTGGAGGATTCAAGGAAAGCTTAAAACAACCGATTTCTCCTGCTTAAGTATTTCATTCTGTATGAATCTTTCTTAAAGAAGAAATTTCTCTTCAATCTGTAGATCCCACTTTTCCTTTGAGGATTTTTCCCCTATAATTTTGATAATTTTCTATCTCTTTGCTGAATTTCTACTTCATGGATGACTATCTGTATATTGGATCACTTGTGTTTTCCATATCTATTCTTTTCTGTTGGATGACTTTGTTCTTTTTGTTTTTTATTCTCCTACATTCACTTTGATCATCTCATGCCTTTGCTGCTTGGGAGTAGTTTAATTTTTTTCCTACCAACTCTGTTGCTTACTCTTATAAGCAGTCTTGCCTCTGACATTTATAGTGATCAGAGCAAGAGAACAAGTGGAGGCCCATTACCCATATATACAAACATTTAGAGGTTATAAATCAAGCAAAGAGACTTTTAAATAAGATATGTTCTATCCTCCTTCCTTGTGAAAGGTAGCAGAATACGCTACTCCAAAATATGCCACTTTGGCATAAGGATTATTTTGAGCTGAAGCCAATCGAAAAGAATTAGATACAAGAAAAGGTCCCTGCCCTCCCGCATTTGCCCAAAAAACAGGACATAGATTTGTAAAGGTGTCCCTCCTCCCTTCTCTACCAGGAAGGACAGAGTTAATCACCAGAGAGAACTCTAGACCCTTCCAACCCAGAAACAGCATCAGAGGAATCTACACAACAAACCTTGCTCAGAGTAGCTGTTATCTACCATTAGTTCCCCATATATTTGCCTTCCCACAATTTGCTGCCCCTAGATGCTCAAAGTCCTTTTCCTTCATCTTGCTACTCCTCTACAAAATTATTGTTCTTTGCTAAGACGCTATAGAAGCGCAAGTTCTAACCACTCCTTTGCGCTACTCATCTTTGAGTACTCCCACATGTCTGTGCTATGTACATGTTAATAAACTTGTTTGTTTTTCTCTTGTAAATCTTTCTTTTGTCAGTCTAATTTATGGACCCCCCCAACCAATGAACCTAAGGTGGGTAGAGGGAAAACAGTTTTTCCTCCTTTATGCTTGACAAATATACTTTCATACTGACAAAATAGAAAATATGTGTAAAAGCTGTGGCTTTTTATGGTTTTATATGGTTTTTACATGACTAAAATTTGGCAAAATATTAAAGATGGTGAATGTAATTATCATTGGGAACATTTGGGTGTCCTGTAATAGGTCAACAGTGTTTAGATGAAGACTAAAATAAAGACTTCCCAAATTAATACATTTTTATCTACTCTATAAAATTAATTTCTTCCTTTCATTTCAGCAAAAGCACTAGTTATGTTGGAGCAACGAAGATTTTTCACATAATTTGTTTTCTTCGAATGGGAAAGAGCTAAAAGATTAAAAAATAAAATGTACTCAACTTGAACAAAATTTGAATAATTTACATCAAAAACAGAAAGTAAATGTAAAAACTTTAAAAACTTAAATTGTTTCAATGATTTTTATATTTTCTTCAAAATATTGAAATTTCTCTATTGAAAGACAAAATAATTACAATTAACAAAAATCAAAATTTAAAATCAGTTAAAGTTGACATTTTTTGTTTTTTCTGAGGAAGAGTTGCCCTGAGCTAACATCTGTTGCCAATCTTCCTCTATTTTGTATGTGAGCCACCGCCACAGCATGACCACTGATAGATGAGTGACGTAGGTCCATGCCTGGGAACCGAACCTGGGCCACCAAAGCGGAGCGCACTGAACTTGACCACTAGGCCACCAGGGCTGGCCCTAAAGTTGACATTCTTATTTAATATTTTAAAATTTTATCACAATCATAGTAAATATTTTTATATTGAAAAACTACTTGCAGTTTTAATGTTTAATGTCCACATAGGCACCAACGCAAAGAATTAGAATCATGCTTCACATGTGTTATGTCCCGAACGTAGGTGGGCACACATTTAAGAATATGTAATATGTGTTGTTTAATACTGCAAAATGTTCCTCAGATACCACTCTAGTTTGTGAATAACACTTTAATTTTTTAATATCTCCAAAACCAACGAATTAGATACAAAGAGAAGTGACAAAATGGATGCTTGGCCTACTGGGCAACAATGCTTTGTTAGACAAGAATCTATTGGATTCATGCTATCAGAGACCAAGTATTTGACACGTGAATTAATTGGTCTTTCATTTTTCCTAAAGACTTCAGCTCAACTCCTTCTCATACTCCAGAGCAGTGTCCATCTCTGATGTTGGCAGAGGCACAAAAACCTTCGTGACATTTGATATTCTTCAATGCATTTGAGGAAATGTTTCCTTGGGGCCTGAGAGGTGTTACTTACGAGTGTAGAGTTTAGAATTATGGGTTTCGCTGTGCCAGAGCAGACACTGGAGGTGCCCATGTGTTGTTTTTTTTTTTTATGTTTTTTTTTTTAATTTTTTTTTTTTGTGAGGAAGATCAGCCCTGAGCTAACATCTGTGCTAATCCTCCTCTTTTTTTGCTGAGGAAGACCGGCTCTGAGCTAACATCTATTGCCAATCCTCGTCCTTTTTTTTTCCCCAAAGCCCCAGTAGATAGTTGTATGTCATAGTTGCACATCCTTCTAGTTGCTGTATGTGGGACGCGGCCTCAGCACGGCGGGAGAAGCGGGGCGTTGGGGCGTGCCGGGATCTGAACCCGGGCCGCCAGTAGCGGAGCGCGAGTGCTTAACCGCTAAGCCATGGGGCTGGCCCCCCCATGTGTTCTTTAATAAGCTTATTTTCTTGGATATTTGGGAAACGTATTTGGGATATCACCGGTCTCCTAAAGATCAGGGCCCAGGGCAGGGGTCTCTTTTGGTTGTGTGTAAGGGTACATATAAGAAATAGAATTTATTAGTTATGGTATTCTTTCTGTCTTTAATTCATTTACTTGGAATGGTAAGTCTCTCTTTTCATATCATTGCTTCGTATTTCTTCCTGTCTTTGAGTTCTTATTTTATAGAATTCATATTTTTATTGAGTTGTTTTAGAGAGAAGCCATTCTAGAGAATTCTCTTCTCTTGTTTGAGTTATATTTTCTTTGACACTGGGTTCTATATCTTTATTTCTAATCTTGTTTATTTCTTTCTCCTCCTTTTAAAAAGGATCTTTTCATAACACATACAGTATGTTTTCATCTTCTTAATACTTAATGTAGGCGGCTCTATCCAGGCCTTCAATTTGCTTGGATGTGAGTGATCTCTCCCCAGATCTTTTCTCATTTTTATGTGAGACCTGTGTGTCTTACCCTCTGAATGGCAGCTTGAGGGGATAGTTCTTGTGCTCTGTCTGCTTTTCTGTAGCCTAAAGCTATGGCATTGATGCGGAAAGCCTAGCTGTAATTGCCTATAGCCTTTCTTAGAGACTGGACCCTAAGATCTTTCGGAGGTTTTATTAAGTATCCTACAACAGACTTTGCTTCACCATAATGGATGCATGAGGAAGAGGAGGTGACAGAGGAGTAATTCTATTTCCATCGGAAGGAAAAATTCCCTGGAGTGTATGCTTCTGTTAGAGAGAGTCAAAGCTGGCTGTTCCATCCCCCATTTTACCTGCCTTCCCCCAATAGCTGGAAAACAGCATTTTTGGAAGATTATCTTGCATCAATAGTCAAGATAGATCAAAACGGGAGCGACTGGACTCAGGCAGACCAAAGAGGCAACTCTTATGGTAATGCAGGTAAGAATTGAATTAGGTTGAAAACGTTGAGTATGAAGGGAAAAAAGTAAATCAATTGGAGTGGAAAAAACCCCACAAACCTATGGTGACAGAAGAAACATAGATAACGAAGGATTGGGAATAGACAAAATTTATTTAGCCGTAGGGACTGAAAGATTGATATGCTGTCTGTTGCATGCTGAAAACTATTGAGTTTTTGAATGTGCAGAAAAAGATGAGCTTGGTTTGGGCCTACAACTCCTACAAAAGTGAAAAAGGAAGCAAATAATACTGTATATATCATATAATCTCAAGTTATCATATATCTATTAATATATAATACTATAATATAATATAAATTATAATATATCATTAATATATTATTAATAAATAATAGAACATATTACTATTATATAGTATAATATATATACTATATATAATTATATATAGAGAGAGTAATATACATATTACTCTAGAAGCACACATATTAAGATATTTAACAGTGGTTCTTTCTTTTTTCTTTTTTTCCCAGTAATTTTATTGAGATCATAATGGTTTACAACATTGTGTAATTTCGGGTGTACATTATTGTTGATCAGTTTCTGGATAGACTTCATCATGCTCGCCCCCAGTAGTCTAATTATTGTCCCTCACCATAAATATGTACCCCTTTACCCCTTTCACCCACTCCCCAACCCTCTGCCCTCTGGTAACCACTAATCTGTTCTCTTTATCCATGTATTTATCTTCCACATATGAGTGAAATCATGCAGTATTTGTCTTTCGATGTCAGGCTTATTTCACTTAACATCATACCCTCAAGGTCCATCCACGTTGTTGCAGATGGGACGATTTTGTCTTTTTTTTTTTTTACAGCTGAGTAGTATTCCATTGTATATATATACCACATTTTCTTTATCCATTCATCCATAAAAGGCACTTGGGTTGCTTCCATGTCTTCGCTATTGTGAATAGTGCTGCAATGAACATAGGGGTGCATAAATCTCTTTGGATCATTGATTTCAAATTCTTTGGATAAATACCCAGTAGTGGGATAGCTGGATCAACAATGGTTATTTCTGAAAGGGAGTTGATGAGTGGATTAATTTTGTTTCTTTGTACTTTTATATATCAACTTTT